GTCTTTGGGGAGCAGGCCTCGGCAGGGTGGGAGCCCTGCCTTCAGCCCCCGGTAGAGAGGGCTGTCCCTGCCAGGCAGGGTCTGGGAGAAGGGACTTCAGCCCCCGGGCCCCCACCAGAGAGGAGGAGGAGCAGCACTGCCCCAGTGGCTGTGGGTGGAGGAGGCTGGCGGCCCAGGCCACCTCTGCTCCTCGCTCCATCCTTCTGCACCCGCCTCCTCCCCCTGGGGCACAAAGTGGCACTCCCTGTCGGAACTTCTGGGCGGTGACAGCACACCTTTCCAGCCTGGGTCTGCGCTGGCCTCCCCGGGGTGCATAGAGGGCCTCAGCTGACTGCGTGTGTGTTTCAGACTTGGACACGGGGCACCGCTGCTCTGTGTCCTGGGGTGGTGGTGTGGGTGCCGGGGCAGGGGCAGAAGCTGAACGTGGGCAGAGATACCCCGAGGAAGGTGCCCGCCGGCTTGGGGACACAGCTACCACAGTCTGTACAGTTAGCCTGCAGTTGGGGAGTGTGCTGGGGCTGAGGCAGGGAGGGCTGGCGGGCTCTCGGGGAGGACTCAGCCCTGTCTCTGACGGGCACTGGACCTGCCAGCTCTTACACTTCTTCTAAAACAGCGTTCTATCTCAGGGCTTCCGTCCCCCTGAGTGTGAAGACCCCGTGGCTAGTTCTGCGGGCTGGGTCTGGCCAGGTGGCTCTTTGGGGTGCTGTTGGTGGTCATGACCACGGGTGGCCTTCCCGGGCCCAGGCCTCTGCCTGCCTTCTGGCCTGGACCCCTGCCAGCCCCAATAGCTGTGGCAGGTGGGAGAGTAGGAGGGAGCCCGAGCAGGGGTGTGGGAGCGTCCTTCTGCCGAGGGTGGGTGGGAGACTGGCACCCGCCGGGTCTCTGTGCCAGCGAGAGGGGTTGGTGCCAGGGTGCGCTGTTCCTGGGAGCCACGCCACGTGTGGCCGGCAGGCTGAGTAACCACCAGGGACTGTGGAGGGGACGAGGGGTAGGTCACGGTGTCAGCTGCTGACCAGCCTGGCCAGGCCGACTTGGGCTGAGCGCAGCCTGCCCTGGGACGCACCGACCTAGGGTCCCCTCCTGCGAGCAGTGTTTAGACAGGTTTGGAGATTCTGCCGGGGACTATGGCAGAGGGCAGGAACACACGAGCGGGCCGCACGGCCTTCGGTGTGGTTTAGACGTGTAAGCCGCGTCTGGAGCTGCATTCAGGGTGTGTCCAGCCCCAGCGATGAACAAGCAACTCAGTGAGCTTCAAGGGAGCAGATGGCATAGCAGCCACATCGCTGAACTCCCACATGGCCGGCCACTGTTCAAGTCCTGAACCTGGTGGCTTGAAAATCACGCCAGCATGTGTGTGCGTGTGTGCCCAAGATCCCGAGGGGAGAGTGGAGGAGAAGGGACTGTGGCATGGCCATCCCCAGGGCTGATTTCTCTCTTCTCCTTCCTCTCTCTCTCACAGCGAGCACGCCTGCCCTAAGGCAAAACCTCTAAAAAAGAAACAAAAAGTTCTTTCTGGAAGGTGACGATTCTGATTAAAATGTCTGTCCCCAGAACATCTGTAGATGCAAAACAGTGTTGTCAAAATGGCTGAAGTCCGTTTCTGGCTGCTTTTCAGTTAACCTCATTCCAAAGTGTGAAAGGGGAGTGGGGGAGTGAGGCCCTCTCAGAGTGAAATCCTCACCCAGTCTGCTCTGGAGGCTTCCAGGAACTAGACAGAAATCTCGGCTTCAGTGACACGGAGGACAGGCACCCTTAGCTGCGTCCCTCGATGGCCGTCCTGGCCATCCCGCCCCCTGTGAAGCCCTCGGGGTTCAGGCCACGCCTTCCCAAGGGTTTGATCTCTGGGTTGGAAGGAAATCTGGGGATGGGATCTGTCCGCAGCTCATGCAGCACTCACCATAAAGATGCACACGTCATCCCAGGCTGAAAAGGACGGGGTTCTGTTAGGGGGCGCCCCGTAGAAATGGGGGTCACCCTAGTCAAAGCTCTGAGGGAGCGGGAGGAGCCGGGCTCCTGTGTGCACTGGTGCTTCTACTCCCTCTGTGTCCCAGGCCTCGTCCTAACTGCAGGGTCCCTGCTGAGCTCTGCACAGCGACCACTGTCCCCAGCCGGAGTCCCCGACTCTCTGGGAAGAGAGCGTACTCCCACCTCCCCGTCCGTGCCCGGGGCCAGGGCTTTCTCTGTGATTGCCCTCTGTGACCCGAGGCCACCCCCTGCTTGGAGTTGGGTCTTCTCCTTCCCAGTTTCCAGACCAGACGCGTGATGGCCTGAGGGCAGGAGCCCCGTGGGAGGCCGCCATCTCCCGGGGGGTGAGGGGGGGGTGAGAGGTAGCAGACGGCGTGGAGGGCAGAGTGGCCCCAAACCAGGGCTCAGCACCGTGGCTTCCCGACTCTGGCAGCCACACGGAAGCCTCGCTGCCCGGGCCTGGCCCCGCCCGGCTCACGACTGGCTGCCTCCTTCCCATGTGCTCATGCGACTTCCAGGTGTGTGCCCTCAGGGCCGAGGGGAGCTGACCTCTCTCTGTGCCCCCTCCTACGAGGGCACCCTGGTGTCTGTAACCTGCTTCCCTGAGCCCCGCTCCCGCCCACCCCACGGCCTTTGGTATCCAGAGTTGACCCCCTGCCTCCGAGACTCGCCTTCCCGTCTGCCCAGCGCAGACTGTGCGGGTGCTGATTTCTCTTTAGACCGTGTATCCAAAGCTTTGTCAGATCCGTGTGCACCTGTGCCCGAGAGCCTCGGGTGCTTCCTCCTGACCCCCCGCTCCCCAGCCGGTGTCAGGCCCTTCCTGTTCTTCAGTTTGGGGTCACCCCCTTCAAGAAACCCTCCTTGGGCCCCTCTATTGGAAGGGCCTGCTCCTTCAAGTTCTCACCCCCTGCTCCCTCCATCTGTGGTACCTTCCACCCGGCTTTGTAGTGCAGACGCCTGCATGGCCACCTCGCGCCTACTTCCGCTCCCTGATCAGTTCTGCTCTGCCCAGAGAGCGGTGTGGGTCTGGGACTGGCACATGGTACACGGTCCACCGCCCCTGAACGTCAGGAGAGCTGTCCGGGTCCGGGTTTGGGTCCGGGTCTGAGTCTGGCACACAATACACGATCCCTGAATGTCAGGAGAGCTGTCCGGGTCTGGGACTGGCACACGGTACATGGTCCCTGAACGTCAGGAGAGCTGTCCGGGTCTGGGTTTGGGTCTGGGTCTGGGACTGGCACATGGTACGTGGTCCCTGAACGTCAGGAGAGCTGTCCGGGTCTGGGTTTGGGTCCAGGTCTGGGTCTGGCACACGGTACATGGTCCCCGAACGTCAGGAGAGCTGTCCGGGTCTGGGTTTGGGTCCGGGTATGGGTCTGGCACACGGTACACAGTCCCCGAACGTCAGGAGAGCTGTCCCGGTCCGGGTTTGGGTCCGGGTCTGAGTCTGGCACACGATACACCGTCCCCGAACGTCAGGAGAGCTGTCCGGGTCCAGGTCTGGGTCTGTGCCACACGTGGTACACGTCCCCTGAACAGTACGGGGGCTGTGGGGCCCGCACAGCTGTCTCGCGCCCTGTGGGTGCCACGTGGCGAGCTTCCAGCCTCTGGCTTTCCTCCCGTTCACCCTCTTTACACGGCGTTCTGCGGTTTCTGAAGGCTTCCTCTAAGTCATGTGAGAACCGCCGGCGGAAGGGCGGGGGCCTCCTGTTCCCTTCTCCTACATCCTAGGGGCTGCCCGTGGGTGCCCCCGGCTGACGTAACGGGTGGGGGTGCGAGGCCCGGCGTGTGCTCTGGCTGCCCTGTGCTCTGGTAGGCAGCTCCCGGGGCCTGGAGGTGGCGGGCTTGCTGCTGCTTTCCGGTGACTGTCACGTGCCCACGCTTGGGGCAGGGTGCTACTGCCCAGAAGAAATAGAATGTGGGTCACCTGGATCTTCTCGTCGTGACAAAGAAGAAAGAGGAGGACCGGGAGGTAGAAGAGCTGGCCCCACATAGGGAGGGTCCTGGGTTCGCATCCCGGGGCCTCTCTGAGCCCGCTGAGGCACAGTGCGGACACTCTGGGCTGACTGAGACGAGGGTGCACTGTGGCCGGAGGACCCTGGTGGGGTGCCTGTCTGACCCCACCTCCCCACCCCTCTCTCTATCTCTCCCTTGGAAGAGATAAGTAAACAAACACAAAAAGTAAAAGGAAGTGGGTGAAATTAACTTTACTGTATTTCATTTAGCCTAATATATCCAAATGTGATTGCCTCATACAAGCAGTATAAGCAGCATTCGTACGGTACTCAGCATTCTGGGATCAGCAGATGGCGTAGCGGATACATCGCTGGGCTCCCACATGGCCTACTGCGGTTCGAGTCCCAGACCTGTGGCTTGAAACTGAGGCCAGGGGTGTGTGCCCAAGAGAATGGAGAAGGGAGAAGGGAGAAGGGATTGCAGCGCGGCCGTCCCCCCGGGGTGATCTCGCCTCCCCTCTCACCGTCTCTGTCTCCCTGTGCCCGGCCTGTGCTGGCGTGCGTGTGGGTTGGGCGGGGACTGTCAGGATGCTAGGGCTGGGCTGCGGCCCCACTGCCTGGAGCCCAGCCACAGCCCTGCCTGAACCACTTCGTGACCCCGGGTGTGTGCGCTCTCAGCTCCGGTCCCCGCCACAGAACGGAGCCGTCAGGCCATGGTCTCTGGGGCCTCTCGGTGCTGGCATGCTACCAGTCACACCCAGATCTGGGCAGGGAGGGTCCTGGGGTGCTGGCCCCGCCTTGGCCTCAGGCGCCCCAGAGCGTGTGCAGAGGCACAGCTTGTCCTCGGGAACTGCTTTGCCGTCTCTGATCCTGACCGAGGGCTGGCGGGCTTGTCACCTGCTGTGTCCCAGACTGGAACGACCCACTCAACGGGCCTGGTGCCTGCGGGTGCCGGGCCCTCCGGCAGGGAGAGGCAGCCTGGACAGGGCCTGCCCTGGGGCTTGGGAGGCTGGTTGTCTGGAGGGTGCTGGGCGAGGGCTGCCCTGCCCTCCTGAGCCCACCCGGTTCTCCCTCACACAGGCTCAGCTGGAGGCCCAGAAGGCCACGCAGGACTTCCAGAGGGCCACGGAGGTGCTCCGTGCGGCCAAGGAGACCATCTCCCTGGCTGAGCAGCGGCTGCTGGAGGACGACAAGCGGCAGTTCGACTCGGCGTGGCAGGAGATGCTGAACCACGCCACCCAGAGGGTGAGTCGGCCGCGTGCCTGCTGACGTGGTCACAGGCTGGCTTCCCATGTGTTCTCGTGGCTGGGCCTGGGCCTGAGCCACACGCAGGATGACGGTCACCTGGGGACAGGGAGGGCTGCTCCCCATTTGCCCAAGGCTCATCTGGGCCTTCTTTGGAGGGACCAGGCGGTTGTCCAGGGTCCCTCCCACAGTGCCCGGAGAACTGGCAGGGCTTGGGAGCCAGGTGGAGGGCCTTGATTAACTGTGCCCAGCTCCACGGGGTGTGGCGGGTATGTGCTGCCGGCCCACGCAGGCTCACGGCCACTGGGCTGGCGTCAGGTGGGCACTCAGGCCTGGCCTGCGGCTGGGCGGGGCTGGGTTTGGGGAACCCGCATGGGAGCAGGAAGTGGCCTGGGCGGGCTCTGCTAACCCAGGAGGCTCAGTGCTCCGAGGGCCAGCCTGAGGCTGCGGACGGAGAATCCCAGCCCTGCCCATGTGCCAGGTCGCAGCCAGAGCGCTGCCCGGGTAGAAGTACACGGGATGCTGCCAGGTGGCAGGCACACAGCAGGGTGGGCCGTAGCTGACTGCATGTTGACTTGGTCCCATCCCTGAGACATGTCATTACACACATGTACATCCCAGCACTGGAGACCCTGGAGACCCCGAGTGCGTGGATGAGGACGTTCACCCTGTGAGGTCCCAGCTGTCATGGCCAGCGGGCACTTGCCAGCCCCTGCGACCTCTCTGGACACCTTGCTCAGGATGAGCGCTCGGGCGGCCGGCAGGTGGCGTGGTGGAGGACGCTGGACGCCCACATAGCCGATGGCGGTTCGAGTGCTGGGCCTGCTGGCTTGCCCTCTCGCTCTCACCCGCACACTCTGTCCCTCTGGTCAAACTGAATAAATGCATAAGCATATAAAGTTACATACAATAATTTTTAAAAGAAAAAGAATTAACCCTTGGGGGTTCTGTTCTATAACAGAACTGCATAGGCCGGGCTGCCTGTAAACCACAGAGAGTTCTTTCTTAAGGTCCTGGCGGCGGAGCAGTCCCAGGTAAGGCAACAGCGGACACGGTGTCCAGTGAGGGCCTGTCTCCCGGTCACAGACGGCTGTCTCCTGCTTTGTCCTCACAGGGTGGAAGGGACCAGCAAGCTCTCTGCCCCCAACCCCTTTTTAAAAAAGCTTGCCAGAGGGCATGTGTGT